CCCTCACTCGTTTCGGAGAAACGGTTGTTATCCCCACCGGCAAAGCAACGAAAGTAGTCAATTTTTTCATTAAAAACCTGCTCCTTCGCCACGGGTCACCTCGTGTTCTGCTTAGCGACAAGAGCCGAACTTTTCTTTCTCATGTGCTGGAGGAAGTGCTCTCTGCATACAATGTTGTCCACAAAACCACTTCACCTTACCATCCACAGACAAACGGACTTACAGAACGTTTTCACCGTACCCTTGCAGCTAATTCAATGACTCTATCTATGTTTCTCCTGAACACACGAACTGGGATGTTATACTACCATTTGTTACATACGCGTACAATACCTCTACGCAGAGTACGACTGGCTATTCCCCTTTTCGCCTTACATATGGGGGAGAACCTACGTCTACTCTGCATATTATATTCCCTCCTCCACCCATAGCACATCACAGCAATGCCTTGAATGACCAGTTACGACGTACAGAAGACACATGTCAACGTGCACAACTTCAAACCAATGAACATCAACGGCACCGTAAACAATCTTACGATTCCAGGCACAAAACTACCGTCTTTCAGCCAGGAGACCTCGTCATGGCCTCGTTGCCTACACGCCAACCAGGCCGTTGCGAAAAATTTCTCCCACACTACATTGGCCCCTACAGAGTGCTCGCCTAGACATCCCCGGTAAACTATCTCGTCCAGCCAAGACAGCTTCACTCGGATCGCAGACGTCGCGCCCACGAAGTCCTTTATGTTGGACGGTTCAAGCCATTCACTTCCCGCTGACGCACCCTACCTCTAAAAACGAATGGCCAGGAGGCCATACCTCAGCCAGAAGGGTAAAGGTGGGTGAGGAAGAGTGGCTAATCCCGCGCGCCGACATTCTGGGTCCCGAGTGAAAAATCGCGAAAGAGAGCGACAGAACACGAGAGAAAGAAAGCAACGTTGCCAGCTGAAGGACGACAGTCGCAATGGTAATCGCGAAGACTGAAAACTCTCAGCAATATAAACAGTGATAATTTAAATTCTGAGCTATTCTAGGGTTTATAAAAAGCAGCATACTCATTACGCTGCATTAACTTCCCTTCTGTCGAAATCTCGGAAATCTGGTAGTTGCGCGGTTTCGTATTTCCGGCCGCGGCCACTCGTGCCCGGAAATACGGAACTGAACCAGACAACCGAAGCCGGTTATCAGGTTTAGTTTAGAGTTGACGGGAGGCCGTACATCTGCGTGCTATGAAAAAAGAAAGCTTCGAAAGGAACGCGAATATCTTTCCACCGGTAAGTTCGTGGATTGTTGAAGTTCATGACACTGCTCTGATGATATATTTGTGAAATCGAAGGCAGTTGGTAACCATGTGGGACCCCGAGAATCTGCCTGCATACTCCGCCGCTTGCGGCAGCCAGAATGCATGGGAAAATGGCGGACCTTTTCCTCTAGAGTTAGTATGTATGATCTCAATGACCTCAACCGCCAGGGGGAAACGCTTTGAGGGAGCTCAAGGACAACACCCACTTCATCTTTATTATGATCATGATCACTGCCGTTTTCAATTATTCTATATCCGCTTTCTCTTTCTCTGATCGCCTCGAGCACGGGCGTCCGTGCTTGGATTTTTCCGAGAGCAGTCGCTCAATAAATCTGTCCCCGGAACTGCTCTCTTGTCCTCACAATATATATATTTATATATACCTATTATACCCCCTCGCGGCAAATGCAACAGCTGCAACACCTCAAAATCCACACATTTCGCCCCCCCCCCCCCCCTTTGTACAATTACTGGCTACTGATGTCAACGAGTCAACGATCCTCTGTACACTTCATACCAAATGCCTACGCACCTATAGGGGGTATTCACTGGACGCCATATTCGAGGTCGATGTATAGAGCGCATGCTCAGAAGGACCTCACATTAATAGCCTGCTAAGCCTGGCAATCTTTATGACGCGGAATGCACGTTGCAAAAGAACTGCGGAAGCTCCCCGTCAGCACGTGCTCAGCAACCGTGCAGAGAGATATAGGGTCGCCAGTGAATACTCCCTGTTAGCCGCGAGATGTTTTGGTGGCGCCCTCCTATGGTGTCCTCTCGTGACGTCACACCTCGCGAACAACAAGTTCGATGGTTTTTGTAATTAGCATGGTGGAAGCTCTAGATCATTCCGCTCTCAAAGCAACACTGCCAACACCGTCAAGCCCCTAAAGTTCTTCCATTCCTCTTATTTCCGTTGATGGGAAATCCTTTGCTGACGTCATAGTCAGCATTCGGCCAATCGTGGCAGGACGACTAGAGCGACGCTTTTGATCGCGCATGTCGCCAATACCTATACCCGCTCAATTTTCACTGCGTAGGAATTTCAAGTAATGCCGTTTTTTTTTTGTGCATTGTTTTGGGCGTTATCCACTGTTCTGTTTGACGTGTCCCACTTTAGCTTTGTGGGGAAGTAGGCACACAGGCATATCCTAGTCGCATGCTTGATTGACATGAATTGAGCGGTTCTATACTGGCGATTTCGAAATTGCGGCGCCAATCTTGCGGCGGAAAAAAAAAAGTGCGGTTTAATTTCCGGTGCTTGACGTCGCAGCTGCGATATTGTGAGTAAAACCGCACCAGGTGAATCGGGCTGATTAAGACGCCGTTGCAGCGGAGACTGCGCGGGAATGCGTAAAAGAAATTTACCTTTTGTTACAAGTTGCAAAGGCCACAGCGCTTTAATGTGCCCTAAAGTTTCACCCTGGCTTATGCGAACGCATGTACAATAAGGTGAATATTTTGGAAACTTGCCTTTCCCATTTGAACAACGTGGGTGTCTCCGCCTTCTCTTGGTTCTGCCTCTTCGTCTTCTTTCTGGTGTGTGCGAACGGAGTGAAGACTGCAAGCGCGAGGCTGTCGTTTTGAGCAGCGCTTGCATTGTATTTGCGTGCACGTGCGCAAAGTGCACGTCGCCTTGCAAAGCGAGCGAAGCATACGCCATACCATCGATTGACATAGATGCCACTAAATTCGCTACGCTCTAGGATAACAGAAGCCTGTTTCGCGTTACGATGAAGGCACATATATTTAAAATGTGGTGCTTGCCTTTGAGATGCGCTAGCTGTTCAGCTTTTCTTAAAGGGGTACGGAAACCAAATTCTGGAGCTCATTTCTTTGTTTCAACACGACGCAGGTAGCAGCACAACCACAGAAACATAAATATTGCGCTAGAAAACGCAAGAAAACATATTTTAAAGTGAATTAAACGATAATCAAAAACCACCTGGTAGTTGGTTATGAAGCTTCAATGGAATGTCGTGACGACAACATGCTTCTGAAAGCAGCGCCGCAGCGGTATGTCCGCTCATTGGTATAGATTGCCTAGGCCTGAACGCAATACCGAGGCGTCTTGGTGGAAAGAGCCAAAACGAAGTGAGCCACCTTGGTTTCAGCTCTCGCGCGACGTGCAAACGCGTGCTTCGGTTGTTCTCAGGTTTGGTGCGCGTGCTGGCCCCGCGATATCTACAGCCCTTGGGTACTTCGACAAAGCGAGATTGTAACGCGTTGACGCCTCCAAGTGGCAAAACTCGTCACTACGGTACGCTTGGTCGTCCGAGGCATGATGACGTCAAGACGTCTGCCGGATCTCCCGAGATGCATCGCGCTCCTCCATGGCTGATTTTGAAGCGCTCGCCAAAATCGCGGCATTTAGAGCATAAAATATAGCCATCTGCTCAAAATACGACCGTGCGATTATTCATTACAGGCTTAGCTGATCATATTGAACTCATTTCTTGATGTTTTCTCTATATTTCAAGTTTCGATTCCGTATCCCTTTAACATTGGGACCCCTGCCTCAGTCAGTAAACTCGGGCACTAACTATTCATTTGAAAAAAGAAAAGAAAGAAAACATTACTGGATTTTTAATGCCATTCCAACTTTATGTCAGCGTTTGTTTTTTCTTTCCATCTTGTCGAAGAAGTACGGACCTACGCCAGCGTCGGCGAGAGCTCCTCCCTCTCTCAAATATCGGCGCTGTTGCTGACCTACTTCTGTTTTGGGAAATTACATTCTCGAAGTGGGTACATAACGCTGTGTACAAATTTATGATATACTCCATCTCACAAACATCTGACAAAGGTACGGGCACAAGCGCTTGGCTTTGAAAAGTGCCTTCTATGCACGAGTCCTCGCACAAACAAAAGCATTCTGCTAAGACCGCCCCCGTCGCCCGTGCCTTTGAATTTACTGCACACATTTGTGAGATGGAGTGTACAGCACCCAGGCGATTACATCGCTAAGCCTTTCCAAACTCGCCGATTTCACCTGCAGCTTGGACATTCAGAATTAACAAACACTAACACATGATCTAACCATTCGGATATTTGGTCAATCTACTCTTTTGAATAAGTGTGAAAAACGACTTTCGGAAACCATTTCATCTGATGTGATATCCATTGACGCTTTGATCGACATGAGGAAATAACGTCCATGCAGAGGGCAAGTTTGTCTGCTTCTTTTGCAGGGGTTATGGTGGCGTCCGAACGTCGAGCTCTGATTGGCTCCGATCGAAGGATAGTGGGTAGACCTCAGAGCAAGCTGCCTTAAGGTCTACAACAAAAGCAAAAGAAGCAGACCAATCTGCCCTCCGTATAAGGGCCCTTTGGCCTGTCGCCGAAGAGCGAATCACGGATCAAGTGTTGTCGATATAATAATAAGTCGCGCCCTACGTGTCACAGTTTAAGCTGTAGCGACCGCAATATGATAAACGTTTGAAGGAGATCGAGTTGCAGATTTGCAGATGCTCGATAGAATATAATATGTACCGCCCCCCCCCCCCCCCCCCCCACACACACACACAAAAAAAAGAAGTTAGCAGGATTTTCAAAATTTAATAGCCACAGAACAACATATGCTGTCCTGCATAGCTTTCCTCACTGGCAGGAAATGCGGAGCAGAGCTACGCGAGGTGTGCCACAGGGTCGTTGATTTCATCGGCATTTCCGGTGTTTTGTCTATCCAATCATCTGCAGGCCGCGGTGGCCCGTGTAATAGTTGCCGCGTTAGCGAACGATTCTAACTCGAGGGGTCGCGCTGGCGGCCGGCTGGTTGAAGACGGCGACGAAGACCATGAAGCCGTGCAGAAAGTGGACCACCCCACAAGCTAAAGCGATTGCCTGAAAAAAAAAAAAAAGGCAGATGTGGAGTACATTACTCTCCGTTTCAATTTAGGTGCCACCGCAGCCGATAGCACTCTCCGATGAAGCTAATCGAGTAGCCTCAAAAGTGTATTATTACGGGGCCCCTCGTCGACTTTAAGGGTTTGCTATCACTGCGCTAAACCAATCGCACACACGCAAATAAAACTCTGGATCGCGGCGCATTGACTGTGCGTGATTTGTTGACGATGGCAAACGCACAAAGGTGGCGACGCCGTGACAATGCACTTTTGATGCTACTTGATTGGCTCCATCGGATTGCATGGACCAACTGAACTCACTGACGTCACGCCAGTGTGGTGGCGCTGCTGTCGGTACTGCGCATGCGTAGACGCTTCACTTCTCCCGAATTTGGCTTCTGCGCAAGCGCAGTGCCCACACCAGGTGTGGGCATAGCAGGCTTGTTTGGAAACACTGTGTTGGTGTATACCGTCAGCTGCGTTTGAACGCGTAACAAAGTATTATGCGGGACCAATTAGTCTAAATAAAGCTAGAATGGGGTTGATTGGAGTAGGAGCAAAACTTGACTTTGGTGTGATCCGGTGAGGCTAAAGTCACTAGATGCTGGGAAGACAGCACCATTGCCTTCCCTGTCTGCTAGTTAGGTATAATATACTGACATACAAATGACCAAAACCTCGCAAGGCGCTCGGCTGATCGACCGGCGTTGCCATGGAAACCGCCATTTCAGTCCCTGCAAATCTTCCAAATTTGGAGAGGTCGTTCTGAACCGGTCATGCCAAGATCGCTATGAAGCGTCATCGTATACCCAAAAGCGTCCGCCGCCAATATAAACGTCTTTGGCTCTGCGTATCCAACCAACTCATCAATCATGCCAATCACCAGAGATTTCTTGCAATCATATTGTTCTACTTGCATATTTCAGAAAGGGGAATTATTTTTCAGTGTCGTGAAGCACCGACACCGCATCCTGGTGATGGCTCATTTAGAATGGAAAAAGGTCAATGAGAAACTGCGGATTATATGAACCAAAATGGCTACCATTCCTGCGACCAACGCAGGGCGTGGCAAGTCCCGAGCATCTCATTGTCATCTCATTATTGCTCCACAGCCAATGATATTGCAAGGTTCGCCGATAAGAACGCCGAAGGACGAAGCAGGAGGCAAGGAGCATGAACATAAAAGGCATGCCCTGCATTTGTTAAGCTTGACTATAACATTTATCTAAGATAAATGTTCAATCTTCGTTTATGTCCGGGGATGCCAAGTTAACTACAAAATGACAAATAGTCCGAACTTTCTGTGTCTTATGACTCTCGTCCTGTCCCAATAGCTGGCGACACGAGCAAAGTGGCAGAGGTGTCCTGACGCCAGGTGGAGTAAATAAGGCGCCACAGATCACGTGACGTTACGGGGCAATAAAGGAATGGTGTCGCCTACTATCGGCGCACAGAGCTGGCGGGTCAGGATGAAGCTATCCTTTGGCATATATCTGACACATTAACGTGTCGCGTGATGACTGCTCCCCGTGAAATCGGGTTCGATTACACGCTTCGCGCCGGAAGTGACGCCCAGAACATGGTGACCGCCAACGTTGCTTGATGCCAAGGGTCTGTTCACTTCGTATAGAAGGACGTGGTTGCCAGATGCGATGAACAGTTCTCGGAAACTCACCCCAGCGACTCCAGCGAACACTTCGCCCCTGATGTCTGTCAGGAGCCAGCCGCCACTGAGGACGAAGAATCCGCTGCCCACTATGTGGTACAAGAGGAACTGCGACGTCCAGAGAAACAGATGCACCGAAGTAAAAATTAGGGCGGATCATATTTGCATGAACGCTATCAGTTGCCCAAGTTATACTGCTGACAACCCACAAAAACTACCGCCCCTGAAATTGTACAATTCCATGACGAAGTTCTCGTATTGATACCCAATCAATTGTGGTACCATGTTTGGGTAGAGTGGCTGCTACCGCGGAAGTAGAGTACTTTTTGTGCGCGCGTATTTTAGTAAGATGCCTTTTTCCGGATGTTTATTTTGTTTTGAGTGGTGAACAACAGCAACTACGCAAAGCGATTGTTATCTTGGCGCAATTTCAGTGTCACCTCACTGGAGAAAACTAGCATTTCTGGTATCACCGAAGTCTGGTCTCGAGTTCAGTGAATCAATGTAGAGTCAACACGGAAAAATCAACGGGTGAGAAGGTCGATTTTCTAGGGGCTGTTTCTAAGCTTTATTCGGAATCCATTGGGGATAACCTCAATTAATGGCAAATTTAAAGGAATACATTTTTGAATTCCTAAGGTCTTAGCCAAACTAGAAAAACAAACAAACAGTAGTGTGCAACGTAACAAAATGAGCCTTTCAAAACCCGTGTGATGTCCGGGACTTATCCATAGACATCTGTTTTTGCAATCTGTGGGTTATGCTTCAACACGACCTAGATGGGTTTAGGAGGTTTCCAAGGTGTATTACTTGTCTGTTTAACTAGTTCAGACTCTTATACATCGACGGACAACAGAAGTCGCAGACATCCGCGCGCGTAAACTTACTTTTGAGGCCACCCTACAAGTCGGCTTTGCCAGCTTGGAGAGCAACGAACGCAAGTGTCGACTGCAATCTCGCTTGTTTTAATCTTGAGGAGAACTCGCGCGTGCGCATGGCTCTTGGGAAATGTTCGTTTTGTTTTTAAATGCTGGCTCACACAGCACCGTCTTCTTACGTATTCTCACGTTACGTATATAAATCACCGAAACATTCGTGTCTGGAATGTCGCGTGCTAGATCCATCTCTTTGAACTGGTGGAAACGCTCAATGCGAAGCGCGGATGTCCCGGTGGCTTGTGGCGTGAGCACGTGACTGGGTCACGTGACGTGACGCCACGGTGTGGCGTGACTGGCATCACACGACGTCAGATCACGTGACATCAATTTATCCGCGAAATTTAGCGAGAAAATTGTGGCGTCCCGTTGTACCGTGGCGTCACATGATTCCATGACGATCATGACCCGACATCATCGGTTGTCAGATAACGTAACTCCGTGACTGTGCCGTGTGAGCTCAGGTCATGTAACGCTCATTTCCTAAACACAACCCATCAAGTGCTATCGCACCTCCGTTGCATAGTTGAGGGAATGCATCTAAGCCAGGCGACTTTTACGCTGTGGAGGCAACGCTGTTCATTGTTCTGCGTTACAGAACTCACGTAGAGCGAGAGTCGTAGGTGAGTCTGCGTGAAGGGAGACACGATTCCTCCGGCCAGCATCACGGTCGACACGTAGGCGTACGCGAACGACACGACCATGAGCAGGCGGGACGGCGTGGCGACGTTGCTTGACAGCAGAACGCAAGCCAGCACGACAAGAGGCGCTGCCTGAACAAGCAGAGAGTAAAGTCAACCTTTTTGATTACAGAAGAATTGGCAGCAACCTGTAACTCCAAAGTCTCATATAAGTCATGAAATGAAGCATTTAGGGAACAATCGTTTAAGTTTCTTTGGAAGACATCGAACAGTCATTTCGAGAGTGAGGAGGAACCTAAATCTTGTTATCGATTTCCCCGCTAAATATAGCGGGGAAGCGGAATGTTTCTAGGTCACGTCACATAAATTTAATACATTTTTCTGCTAATTTTAGCGGGAACACTGACGGTGTATAGGTCACGTGAAATTAATTTTTCCGCCCAATTTAGCGGGGAAACTGAATTAGCGTTTAGATTACGTGACGTCAATTTTCCCGCTCTGTTTATAGCGTGGAAACTGAATTTACGTATACGTCACGATTTTTACTTTAGCGGGAAATGCGCGGAAGGACGGACGGACAAAATTTTAAATTTGGGATATGTTCCGTAAAAAAAACAAAAAAACTCATGTTTAAAAAAAGAAAAAAAAAAAAAAAGACGCCGAATTTTGCAGTTAGAAAGTAGTCACTAAATAACGTACGCTTAGAGTGTGGACAATTCATTCCCCGATTGCCTTGTAGGCGCCGCCATTTTGTTGCCTATGGTCACTGACAGCTTAAAAGACAAAGAGTGTACCGCGTCCCGAATATTTAATTATCACTCCGCACCCAATCAGATCGCGACATTCGCCGATAAGGACTCTCAATAACCAATCACGAGGCAAGAAGCGTGCGCATCATGAGCCATTGTCGTGCGCTTTCTAAGCGACAGCAAATTCGACGACACCTAGCGGCTAGAGCAGAAAACTGTGGTGGCAGGTGCGCGCGCCAGCCTTCACGAGCGCATCAGATATCCGCAGCGCCTGGTAATCTAAATACGAAGCCGTGAAAGCAGGTTAGAAAACACGCGATGAAAATCGCCAACAGTCCACAGAGAGCTCAATTGGCGATGTTATTGACTTGCGCGACCAAGAGCATCACGGTGGTCTAAGTCCGCGATTGGCCAAAGCAATTGCTTTTTGTAATATTATCACGCATGCCCAATCGCCGGCTCACAGCGAGGCAAATCCTGCCAATCACGTCTAGGCGGATGCAAATCTTGCCCCCTTGACGTCGGGAAAGGGAAGCTTATAAGAGGGTGCCACCGAAATATCTTGGTGCTAATAGCAGAGGAGGAGGACTCTGGCGGTTGTTACGATTTTCCAAAGTGCGACTTCCCGAGCTTTTATTAAACGGTGTATCAGGGAGCTGCAGATCGCTTTTTTCTGTCCCGGCCAGTTCAGAGATCTCTGGATGACGGAAAAACTTTTCCCGGGATTTCAGATAAAGGCTTCCGATAACCAGCAACAATTATTTTAAGCAACAAGATGGCCGACGCGTTTTACTACGAAGCATAACTTGTTTATTAATGGAGGGTATTGATCGTTGTTTTGGCCCTCAGTTGATCGCACAAAAATCCTCACCGAGTTGACTCTAACAATACGTTTACTTTGTGTCGTCAGACGAACGAAATTGAAAACACGCCAAGTGAAATAGGAGTAATGGCCCGTTCACACGCTTGTGTTGGCTTACGGCCGAGTCCTTGTTATCCCTTACAGAGAATTTCCAACTGATCGATGGAGGTGACGAGGTTTACGGGCCGCATTTGCAATACGAGCTGCAAGCAGGTGTCGAAAGCGTTATCGTCTGCGAATGTCTCCGCCTTTTCTCTTGCCTTCCTCCTCGCCAAGCGAAAACGCAGCGCATGCGTACTTGCGACGGATCGCCGCAGGAGGTGCCCGCCATTAAATTGCAAATGCTCCCCCTGGTATGAGATAGACCCTCTCTTCAATCTAGGCTCTCTAGAGAAGACACCGGCACGCTGGAGCCGTACATGAGGAGACCGTGGAACTGCGTTTTGCTAGAGGGAAGGTTTGGCAGTGTTTGCAAGGTCAAATGTACGTACTTTTTATGAGAAACGATCGTTTATAACGTCTCTAGAAGTTTGTAAAAAAAAAAAAATAATGCACAAAAAAAAAAAAAGGAAATATGTTGAAACGCAGAGTGTTCCACGGCTACCCGATAGGTGGCGCCAGTGTGTTCACTCGTCGTATGAGGTTTTAAGAAGTTTTAAGGCACACGGTCGTAAGAAGCAGCAGCAAGTGTGCGAAGCGTGCCTTTAGAGACTTTGCGTGGAATTTGTGCACGCAGAGTGATAAATGAGGATAGGTATCTCACCACTTCGACGATGTTCAGAATTCCGTGCTTTGTGAGATTGTGCGCGGTCTTGGTTGGCGCTTTCGACATCGTCTTCTTTGGGTTCTTCTTTGTGTTCTTGGTTGATTTTATCATCGCTGGAATATCTAGGGAAACAAAATAAAAAGAAAAGGTTGTTTTTGTGTTTAAAAGCTTTATTTTACTTTCTAAATTAGATTTTGGTGGTACGCTACGGTTTTGTCATTTGCTAAATAATGATTATATTTCGACGACTGCAATACTGGGCTCGTTTTCACCTCAAGAAAAAAAAAAGGAGTTTTGCGCATTGTTCTATACACCGAGCGAAGTAGTTCTTACACGATTCGGTCGTTAGAGGAAGAAGCGGTGCTTTTTGCGTCTAAAACGTGTACGTCTTGATAAGATAACAGATCTAGTCTAAAATGCACCTATATATACCTTAATTCTTCACATAAAGTGGGAAATAAGTAATGCTACGCGAAGGCCAGACTTTTTACGAAGGGTATTGAAGTGAAAACGACTATTGGCGAAAATATGTTTTGGTGGAGTCCTCTTATGCTTTCTATTCCTGACGTCACGACCGATATTAGTAGTAGCGAGCGACAAGTTCGATAGCCATCACGCTCCTCAATGAACACCGTCAGGGGCCAACGGTTTTCAATCAATAGGGCGCCCTAGTGTTTTAAAGACCGGTCACTTCGCTGCGTTTCCACAGGAGTTAAGGCATTTTATTTTTTTGCTTTTTCCTCAGGTAAGTTCGCTCTTTGCAAATTTTATAGAAAAGAAAAATGCACCACCTGTGGGCAACGCTGCACAAAATCGCAGCGCGATAGGTTAAGAAACCGAATTTCGCGGTCGATTTAAAGAGCCTGCCCGCTGTTTGGGACACCCATTACATTGCTGTTATTTACGTCGAAAAGAGCAGAAATGATCCTACTCAAGACGGAATGGTGAGCGTTTGGCCTATCTTGGGTGGCCGATCACAGCGACACTTTTGGTCGCGCCTGTCGCCCATAGCGAACAGATGGTCACCGTACACAAGGCTCGCACTTTTGTCACATCAGCGGCCATTGCGAAGGACCTCACTGCTGCACATGAATCTTCCGCAGCATATATTTCACACCACTCAATTTACCTTTCTCGGCAAGAACAAATAGGCATAACGAGCATGACCATTGGTACAAAGCGATGTCTTCACGTCCAAGCCACGTACTTGTGCCTATCAGTATTTAATTATTTATATACGTATATATTCTTTTTTTGCTTCACATGTCCTACTTTTTAACTTTGCACATGCCGTTCAGCTGGAAAACTTTCAGATTTGGGGGGGGGGGGGGGGGTGTAGAAGCTGGGAAAGAACAACAAAGCAACAAGAACAACTGCGACATATGTATGTCCGGAGCCTGCCAAAATCCGGTTTTATTTATCGTTCCAAGACTCACGCGAGGAAGGTGAAGGATAAAAGATCTGTCGGTTTATTCATATGTGAGGCTAAAAGTTTTCATAGGTAGTTTTCACCGGTGGCTATAGCTGAGTCCTATGCTGAGCGCGAGCTTACAATCAGCTTCCACAACGCTTCCGCAACGAACACTTCACACCAGCAAGATTGTAGCTCTTCTAAAAAAAGATAATTAGGGGGTCTCAAAATTTCAAAGAAGAAACTTACCTAAGTAAAAAGTAAAAACAAACAAACAAACACGATATCTGTTTTTTTTTTTTTTTTTGGCTACGGGGACCGTCTGCTAACCGCTCATCGGACCGAAGCCCGACCGCAGTCCACGCTACGACCCAACGGTGCCAGTCAAGTAAGTCCAGAAGTCAATCGCGACGGCACTCGTCTTTCTTGAGCGTTTGCTATCCACAGGCTGAACCAATCACAACCAATCAATCAATCAGTCCATGTCCCATGGTCCCGCGCTTTTTCGGTGCCTGATAAGTTTAGATGGTCATAGCATAGGCGCACAAACGACGAGTGCCATGACCACGACCAACTGGCCATGACGATGCACCTTTGGAGCTATTTGATTCGTTCCATCTGATCGTATGGTGTCGGCTGGATCGATGTCGGTCCTAATTTGAAACCTAGTATCGTAACTATTCGAAATAACGTAAACCCATTCAGGAGTCAGTTAAGGTACTCACCCAGTCAACGCGTCAGCGAAGTATGCAGAACTGGAGAAAACGCGATTCGTTGGAAAGCTTCTTTGTTTTCTGCGCTTTCGTCTCGAGTCACGTTCCTTCCGTATGTGGTGTTTAGGACGAAAATATAATAACACAGCATTTGAACCGGGAACAAGTGAGGAAATATAGGTGAGGCAAAACAAAGATGTGTGTCAGTCACCCATTTTTGGTGAAAACTTTTCAGCGGCGCGGAGAGATCAAAATGCTGTTTTAACGCATACCAGAAGACACGACATTCAATGTGGAATAGGTCTATAGATCTCGCGCTAACGAGAGCTGGATTATTTCAGCATTAAATGAACTAGATATTTTGATTTCCGAATTCAAAATTATGTCGGAATTGAAAAAAAAAAAAAGAAAACTAAAACAAGCCATGTATATAATACATGGCTAAAAATCATCGCTTGCTTCAGTTTCTGAGTTCTACGCTGCATATCACGTTCTGCGCTTTTCTGAGTTCCAGACTAGTGTAAGCTCGCTCTTGTAGGCACGTGAAACTATTGGCGAAGACAAAAGCGATAGAAAAACAACAACAACAACAACAAAAAACGCCAGGAGGCCGTTCGATTGCTGAAAATACTTTTCGTTTTGGTAAGTTTCTTTCGAAATACTCTTAGATATATGTCTGTGCTGCAGCGCAAGTACCTTTAACAGAGGTCCACCCTGCTTTTAGGTTGCGGGGGAGGCCGTAAATTTTCCCGTTTCAACAAAAAAAGAAACAAACAGCAAGACGATAAACATTTGTTGATGTTAAAAATACAAAATTGTATAAAACCGAAGAACACCGATAAACTCGTCCGTTGGTATCAAAAATACAAAATCGGTTAACGCCGTAAAACACTGATTTCTCTAAGTGTTTTTCGCATCTAGGTAAGTGTCATGCTTAGTGCCACAGCGCCGGCTGTTTTTTTAGGTCCAGGTTTAGGTATCGGATTCAGTTTAGGTTTAGGTTAAGGTCTAGGTTTAAGTTTAGGTCAGCCTCGCTATCCGCCGAGCTCCTTCCCTAAATTGCCATGATTGTTCCTCCCAAATACTTCGCGGCAAAATAGGCGCTCCAGATTTCTATAGGGGGTATTCACTGGACGTCATATTTCAGGAAAGTGCTCACAGCGCATGCTCGGGAGCAATGTTTATTTAAGGTCTCCTAAAGAAGACAATCTTGACGGCGTGCAATGTGCGTGTTGAAAGCGTTGTGGAAGCCTGCTGTCAGCACCTGCTCAGCAGCACCGAGCTCAGTTATAGCCGCCAGTGAATACCACCTATTAGCGACGAGATGTTTCGGTGGCGCCCTCGTTTGGTTACCTTTCGTGACGTCATTACCTTGTGTTCAACAAGTTCAATGGTGTTTGTAATGGGCATGGTGGAAGCCTTAAATCATAGCGCTCTCAAAGCAACACTGCCAACACCGTAAACATTGAAGTTCTTACATTCCTCTTATTTCTGTCGATGAGACATCCTTTGCTGACGTCATAGTCAGCATTCGGCCAATTGTGGTGGGCCGACCACAGCGACGCTTTCGATCGCTCACGTCGCCAATAGACCTTCTGCGTTTACCTTCGTCTCCAGTCACACTGGGGGGGGGGGGGGGGGGGGGGGGGAGGGGAGTGCGAAGAAACGCAAGACATTAGGACGTGGAACAAGTACAAAAATATAGAACCGACAAAACAAGAAAGATTGACAGTAGTCATGAAAACGTGAGCACGTTCTAGTTGCCTGGTGAGGGCAAAACAACCTTTTTCCCACATAACGGAAGTTCTGCTATAGGATGGTAATGTCCGCCCCCCCCCCCCCCCCCCCCCCCCCCCCCCACACACACACACACACAAATTTATGAATTTTGAACGGATTTTCTTCGGACATTATATCCTTACAGATGTTATTCTGACCTTCATTTGTTCTTTCCCCAAAGCAGGTCAAATAATCGGAATCTATGGCGGGTCTTTACTTTCGAGAATACACCATGACAACGCACGGGTGGCTCAACGTTCTCGAAGTGGTGAGTTTCTACAGAATAGACCGGACCGAGCAAAGCAAGAGGTTGCATTTGGAAAGAAGTATAACGCACTCCCACTGATGTCCTTACGCTCATATTGTAGTGCTGAGACTAAATATGGTTATGAAACGTTTATTTCAACAATATTGAATTGTAACATATACAAAATATTATTAAGCAGTAGGTTTCACTTTCTTGTGAAACGTCCGCAAAGAAAGGCAGTCCCTGCGCAGCTGAGGCGTCAGTGACACAACGCGCATATAAAGAATTTTTATTCGTTCTAAACCAGAGAAACATACGACACATATGCCATCTTTAACAACCCAGAATATTTAAAAAATATTGCCTCAACGTGACTCTGCTAGTATGGACAATATAGTATACATACAGGGCAAGCGCATGGGTGCACCTACACATGGCGAAAGCTGTCATATGGCGTCGGCAACGTTCATGCAGAGGACGAAAAGATTAAAAATACGAGAAACAGCAAGTTACAATATTTAGTAATTATTGAAGATAAACGCTATTGCATGCCATTTTTTTTCTTCTGAGCATCCACATGTATACAGTTGATAATCTTACTTTCTGGCGCTTGATAGAAACATGTAATAGAAACAACAAGATAACACGCTCGCATTATGTCATGCTCAACAAACATTATACAAACTAATGGATGTGTTTGTGGTGGTAAAAATATTTTATGACTAGATTACTAAAAATGTGTAGCACGTGGGAGATATAGTACTTTTCACCAATCGTGAAAAGTCTAAAGCGAAATTCTACTCAATTTTGTCGCGAACTGTTCGATGACTGACTGCATCGCGGCGTCTTTTTATGGTTGTTTTTTTCGTTGCGCGCACTAGAGGGAGGGAACTTTGGCGTCGGTGTTTTATGCCGTCGAAAAAGAAACCATGGGCCTGCGCTGCCCAGAGGGTGCTGAGAATGGGACTTGTTAGGACTTGTTTTGGGTAGTACAAATTTTAGCGTCTCAAACTGGCACCCATGCAGAAGCGTGCCTGCTCTGGTGCGGAGCGCGAGATCACGATGAAAATACAAAGACAGAACAAAAATTCGAACGCCGTCAAAGCTAAGACGCCGAGAGCGTGAGCCAAGAGATGCCGTTACACGCGTTCCAAAATAGACATCAAAAAGAAAGAAAAAAATTAAAGCGTCGCGACACAGGTGTTGTGACGTCACCACCCAGAGATAAGAGACGCGTGCCCTAGCGGTGGTGTCATGAATTTGGCACTTTCGATTCTCTTGCAACGGTGAGTTTGGCCGATTTCTGGCGTTTAAAGGTGTTTTTGCGTTCTTTAGCACCACATAGAATCGAAAAAACTCGACCAACGTGCTATAAGTAGGGCTATGCTCAATCAGGTGAGCTTGTACTACCCAAAATGAGGGCGCTACAGTTTGTTCAAAGCTTCAGCGCAGGAGGCCTATGCCGCCGGCGCCGTCGAGCCTCGAGTCGGGCCAACTTTGCGCCCCCCCACCCCCCTTAGATGATTAGAGGGGGCGGCTGCCCCCCCCCCCCCCTGCCCCCCGCCCCCCCCCCTGTGCGCACGCCTATGATTTCAAAGCATTGCGGTCTGTACGTCTTATGCTAATTTAACTCCTATTTATAATAATGTAGACAACTTTTCTTCCTTCATAGTCGAGCAGTTAAAAAAAAAAAAAAAACGCAGGGCTTGCGTTTACGCTTCTCGCTTTGTGATTGGTCATTGGCGTTCGAATACTGCAATCTGATTGGCAGTCTGACCATAATGCAATGCTCGGAACTGGCCACGCCCCCGCGTTCTTTATGCTTGCAGTGAGTACATATGCTTTGAATGAAGAGATGTCGAGTAAGAAACGTACCCACAGTGGTCCAAAACAAAAACCAAGAAGGTCGGAAAACTGACCGAATGAATGACACTTTACTTTTTTTTTTGTAGAATTACCTTTTATTTGTTTTTGCGTTGAATTTATATGTGTGAGAGGGCTAAGACCTACGAAGGACTTGCGTGCATTCTCCGATCAAATATTTCCAGGCAATAAACAATAAAAAAAAAACAAAAAAACATCCCAGATAAAAAGAAAAAAAAAAAAGCCGCAATCTTTTGGCGTTTGAATGCCCAACGCGAGACCCTGCTCGAGGGGCAGACGACGCTTCGCTCTGATTGGAGGGAGACGGTGGATAGAGACGAAGGCAGCTATGCTTTCCGTCTACCCACTGATCGAGCCACCTCGGTGGCTCCGAGGCGAGAGCGCCGGCGTACGGATCCCCAGGTGGCGGGTTCGAATCCCGACTGAGGTGCCCGCAATATATAATATAATAATAATAATAACTGTTTATTTCCATTACACCTAATGGTGGAGCCAAGAAAAAAAGCCGCGCTACGCGGCTTGACGAGTTCTTGGCCCCAGTACATTCTGCAGAAGCGTCGGAAATATCAATATACAAAAAAATCGTGCATAATCACAATGAATACGAAAAAAAAACAAAGAAAACAACATGAAACTAGAAAACGCCACTGAGCACCATATAAGTTGACATTCGAAAATCAACACAAAACACACTTTTAAACTAAGAAAAAAGAAATCGCATCAATCTATATATGCAAAATCATGCATGACAGATCGCAATCCACCCAGGCTTAATCTATCTATAAAGACACCTTTAGAATGCAATACATTTAGAAGCTTTGGGATTCGGTATGCTAACATTTCCTTACCAGTGTTTAACCGACACGTTGGTACGTGCCAGTAATCTGGATTACGAATTTGGTATGGTACGATATGTTGTTGCAAAGCAGACAATTCTACCAGGGATGAAGTGTTGTAAAGAAATTCTGTTCTAAGTTTTGTGGATAGCCTATAGTTATAAAGATTGTGAATACTGAGTATATGATAACTTTTAAACAGGTTTTCCGTGTGCGAAAGATAAGGTACGTTTGCAATTACTCGCAACATTCTTTTTTGAAGCAGGTGCACCTTCTCAAGATTAGTTGCAGTGGTAGTACCCCAAACTAACGAACAATAATTTAAATGGGAATAAAATCATGATTTGTATAATAATATTTTAACAGATGTAGGAAGTAAATACCGATGCCGACATATAATACCCACAGTTCTTGACAATTTTTTATTTAAATGTTCAATATGGCTATCCCAGGACATATTCTGGGAAAACACTACTCCAAGTGTTTTAAAATTATCAGTTAATTCAATATTTACCGAGTTTAAAGTAATGGTGTTTATTGGAGGAAGAATTTTATGCTTAGGTCGAAATAGTACGGCTTTAGTTTTACTTGTATTTATTTTTAAAGCGTTCTTTTTTGTCCATACCGATATCTGACCTAACAATAGGTTTACTTTTGACACGAGCTCCTCAGGATCGTCCGCAGCATACAGAAGTGTTGTATCGTCAGCATATATTATCAATTTAGTTGTTTGGTCAATATTCACAATGTCATTTACATATACGTTAAAGAGAAAAGGGCCTAATATACTTCCTTGTGGTACTCCAGAGACTATGGGTTTTATACTGGATGAAAAATTACTACAGCACACATATTGTTTACGATTTTTGAGATATGATTGCAATAAAAGCAGGGCTTGCCCGCGTACTCCATAGCATTCAAGTTTCTGTAATAAAAGCGTGTGGTTCAAATAGTCAAAAGCTTTCGTAAAGTCAATGTAAACTCCCAAGACTAGTTTTCTATCTTCTAGGTTACGTAAAATAAATTCCTTTTCTTCAAGTAACGCAAGCTCAGTGGAACGGTGCTTTCGAAATCCAAACTGGGACTTTGTAATTAGCTGATGCTTATCAAAAAATTTTGAGAGCCGTGTATGAATAAGTTTTTCTAGCCCTTTTGAAAAAACAGGCAGTATGGAAACTGGTCTATAATTATTTATATCATTTTTATCGCCTTTCTTATGCAGCACGGAAACCTTTGCTATTTGCATACGCTCAGGGAATACACCTTCAGATATACACAAGTTAAATATATAAGTCAAATAAGGCATAATTAACTCTAAAACGTATTTTCTGTATCATCTATATCTCTGCTACGAGTGTTATTTGTATATCATCTATATCTCTGCTACGAGTGTTATTTAAATTCATAAATGCTTTAAAAACCTCGGAATCGTCAACCGGATCCAAAAAGATTGAATTTGCACTTCTCTTTTCAATATACCTACAAGCATCATCATCGTAATTTATATTCACTAAATTTACAAAATGGTCATTAAACATATCAGCTAAAGCAGTGTTCTTTATTTCTTCGCCGTTTATATACAACTTCTCTAGGTGTTCATTTCTTTGACTACCCCGTAAAATTGTATTCACTTTTTTCCAAGCGACCTCAACATTTCTAATTGTCGAGGTAAAACTGTTATGGTAATAACGTTCCCTAGCCTTTCGTAATTCTTTTGACAGCTGGTTTCTATAACATTTGAACTTTTTTAAATCATCTTGGTTTCTAGTTTTGTTAAAGTTATGAAATAGCTGATTTTTTATAACAATTTTTGATAAAAGGTTCGGGGTAATCCACGGCTTTCGAATTTTACGCGACGATTTACATATCTTATAGGGGAAATCCTTCGCATAGATCGTCTGAAACCTATTCAAAAAAGTGTTGTATGCTATATTGGGATCAGTCTCTGTTAGAACATCATTCCAACTCGCGCTTACAATATCGTTGCGATACATATCAAGATTGTCAGGCGTTATGTTTTGAAATTTTCTTAATGACCGAATGTCTCGTTTTGGGTGAAGGGCTTTGTTAATGCAAATAAATATCGGGAGATGATCGCTGATCTGGGTGCTAAATATTCCTCCTTTTAGACGTGTATTATCAATATTTGTAATGAAAAGGTCTATTAAGGTTTCTGTGTGAACAGTGATTCGTGTTGGTCTGGTTATCGTATTAAGATATCCGTACGTGGCAAGCAATACTTCAAACTCATTTTTAGGCGTGCTATTAACTAGCATATTGATATTGAAATCCCCCCCCCAATTATCACACTAAAATTATTGTCACTACCGAATCCCAAGAGCCTCTCGAAAAACGTAAAAAAATTCACAATATTGCCATCCGGTGGGCGATAAACAACAGAAATAAGCATATTATCTGCTATGAGAGATAGCACTTCATAGTCTCCAGTGGTAACACAAAAATTTGATAATAATTGAGAGTTAATGTTTTCTTGGACCAATGCGCAAACACCACCCCCGCGACCTGTAGTCCGGTTTAAACAGTAGCTTTTAAAGGACGGCATATGAAATGCATCAGTTTCGTCGGAATACCATGTTTCCGTGAACATAATCACGTTCAACCTAACTGAAAGTTGGCTAAAAAGACATTCGAGTTCCATCGATTTATTTTTAGCCGACCGAACATTTAAGTGAAAAAGTTTGAGTGAAGCCTCAAAACCACCCTCAAGAATTTTTGCAAAGTCAGTCGGAAGCAAGTATGAAGGATCCATCGTAAATTTATTGAAAACCCAATGTGTAAATAAGATCCATGCCAAAAACTACAAACCAATCACTTCCAGGTCGTCTTCACTCCTTATCACAACCGCATCGTCACCATCCTTGCGCCTAGCAAAGATTTTTCCGTTTCTGTGCCAAGTGTATTTGAAACCGTTCGCTTTCGCCCATTCTTTTGTTTTCGCTAGGAATTCCCTGTTTTGTTTAGTCATGTTCTCGTAGATGTACACCCTCATTCCGGTTGCCCTTAGCTTATTCTTCCGGTAGAGCCATGCATCCCTAGTTGTTTGGGATGCAAACCTGACAATGACGCCTGGAATTTTGTCTGGTTTTGATGGCAGTCGGTGAATCGCGGTGATATCGCATCCAGCTAGCTCGGGCACTTCTAGAGTTCGCGCCACTTCATTTACCTTGCTTATAAGGTCTTCGTCATTACTTTTTGCGATGCCGTGGAACTCCAAATTAAGCTTACGGCTTCGCCATTCCATGTCGTGAAGTTCTGCCTTGAGCTTTTTCACTTCCTCCTCCTGATCCTTTTTCTCGATTTCTGCAAGTCTACTTTTCACCTCTTTCATCTCTTTCTTTTGTTCATTCACAGATTTCAGAATTTCATCATACTGAGCAGACATCATGCTGATAGATGCCTCAATGCTCCCAACAGTTTCTTTAAGGTTCAACAGCTCATCTAGCTTTTCGTTCATGCCAGCCAACAGAATTGAAATTGAAATGTCGTCATCCGGTTTTTGTTTACTGACAGCCCCGCCTTTCAACCTTGAGACTCGACAAGTGGGGCATTTCCATGTCTTACGATATGCCTCGCCTTTTGTTTTTAACGTGACTTCGGACACCCCCGCGCAAACACCACAGTGGTAGGAATACTCGCATCCACTACACGAAATAGATTGTTCGGCATTAAGAATTTTCTCTTTGCATTTCAAACACAGTGCGTCAGCCATTACCAGATAAAAACATTCACCAAACAGTAAACACCGCAGGCAGCAGCAGCGACAGAGCTAGAAATGTTTAACGCGAAATAAGTAACGTAAACCAACCTGCAATGATGTAACAGGACAGATTAGCTTGTGCACTGTCGTCTGTCGCCGCTGCTGCCAGAATGCCGAGGTCCGGCGCCTGTGATGATTCTTATGGCACGATGTACCGCTGGCGTCGCCCGTGTCTGGTGTCGTGGGCGTGGCCACACGCTTCAGCTCGTTGCAATCTGGCCACGATAGTCGCTTTTGTTGTGGAGCAAGGCGTCCGACACAGCAGGCAGCACGCTGCAGTTTCACTTGCTTCTAGGATCGGGCACACCGTTGATAAACTGCAATGATGTAACAGGACAGATTAGCTTGTGCACTGTCGTCTGTCGCCGCTGCTGCCAGAATGCCGAGGTCCGGCGCCTGTGATGATTCTTATGGCACGATGTACCGCTGGCGTCGCCCGTGTCTGGTGTCGTGGGCGTGGCCACACGCTTCAGCTCGTTGCAATCTGGCCACGATAGTCGCTTTTGTTGTGGAGCAAGGCGTCCGACACAGCAGGCAGCACGCTGCAGTTTCACTTGCTTCTAGGATCGGGCACACCGTTGATAAACTGCAATGATGTAACAGGACAGATTAGCTTGTGCACTGTCGTCTGTCGCCGCTGCTGCCAGAATGCCGAGGTCCGGCGCCTGTGATGATTCTTATGGCACGATGTACCGCTGGCGTCGCCCGTGTCTGGTGTCGTGGGCGTGGCCACACGCTTCAGCTCGTTGCAATCTGGCCACGATAGTCGCTTTTGTTGTGGAGCAAGGCGTCCGACACAGCAGGCAGCACGCTGCAGTTTCACTTGCTTCTAGGATCGGGCACACCGTTGATAAACTGCAATGATGTAACAGGACAGATTAGCTTGTGCACTGTCGTCTGTCGCCGCTGCTGCCAGAATGACGGAGACTTATTGCGGAGAAGGGGCCATGGTAACCGAACTTTCGGTTGCACGTCAAAAGATCCCCAGGTGGTCGAAATTAATCCTCAGTCCTCCGCTGGGGCGTGCCAGATGCCCGTCGTAGGTTTTGCACGTAAAACCCCCAAATTTGACTTTTTTTGTTACCCACTGATCCTTCCAATCAGAGCTGGGAGCTCTGACGTCATCGCTCGCTCTCAATGCCCTCGTTATCTGCTGAAACATGTGAATGCACTTTCCGCTCTCTGCGTGGATTTCCTTTGCTAAAATTGCGCAGGCACATCTCCCAGATTGCTTAGTATGTTTTCAAATTGGTCAGGTTACCGTTTCTGATAGTGGGGATGGAGCCGACTCCATAAAACGTAACATGAACTGAGTGCTGCAGGAGTAGGCGATCGCATAGATTTTCCTCGTTTTTCTCTATTGTCTAAGAAGAAAATGCATCCTCTCACCGAGATCCCATTTAGAATGTATATTTTAGTGTCAGTCATTAATGCTCTCTGCGATTAAGTTTCGACTAAACCAAAGTGCGATTCATAGAGTGACAGTCGATGTATGGATGTTCTTTGTTTCCTGTCGTTGTCAGTCACGTGGGTTCCGTATGCGGGACGAAAAAATATTCAAACATTTCAACCTGGAATAGGCGAGAAAATATAGGTGAGGCAAAACAAGGACGTGTGACAAGTCACGGATCTTTGGTTAACACCTTCCGGTCGCGTGAAGAGATCAAAACGACGTTTTACCGCATGCCAGAAGTGACGGCATTCAAGATGGCTGCGCCTTTGTGGAAAAGGTGTATACCGACGTGCAATAAAGTTAGGTTTGACGGGTACTCCGCGGCCGCAATCATATACATGGCTTGCACATCACATCATCGCACCATGCTCGTGGTCATTCCTACTTGTTCTTGCCGCGATAGACAAATGCGATGGTGCGAAATATATATTGCAAAATGTACGCGCTCCCAGCAAGGCCACCCAGTGGCCGCTGGTGGGACTTCAGTGCAAGCCATGTATTGGACACGATCTCGAGCTCCAACATCCGAGTGCCACATAGTGCCCTGCCCACCTCTGACCCGGCGCTCGTGTGCAATCGTTCAGTGACATGGCCTGGCCAAAATTGCCCCTTTTGGCCAACAGTTGCCCTGGATAGCTCCCGACCAAAACGCCTCATGCTCATTGCCCTGGGCCGGTTTGCTGGTGAATGCGGGTATCTCTCTCACCAGTTAAAATGGCCGCGAGGGATTTTTATCTAACGTGACCTTGCTCTGTGGGGAGCAAATACCTATGTGGAGCTCAAGTACGTCTGCCTCTTCCGCTGGAATTGCGGTGAAGTTAGAACGCCGCGCTCTGATTGGCTCTGATTGGAAGGGTAGTGGGTAAACCTCAAGGCAGCTCGCATTGAGGTCTGCCCACTATCCTTCCAATCAGAGCCAATCAGAGGTCGCCGTTCTGACATCACTGCAACCCCTCCGCAAGAAGCAGACGTACTTGAGCTCCAGATAGCGTTCTATATGGACGATTCCGCTCAGCGGACGTACGGCTTGCTCGCCGCTTTGTTTAATCCTTGCTTCAAAAGACCGTCCCCTGAAGTAACTTTCCATGTGGTTCGTAGAAAATATACGAATGTGATTAAGTTCACTTACCATTTCGAGCCTGTTCACTCGCTTTCTGCACGCAAAAACGAGCTTGTGTATTCGAAGCGAAGACAGGCTTGCGCCAGCCATTTGCCTAGAAAGCTAGGTCACGTGACCAGTCACATAACCTGAAAATGACCCGCATTCACCAGCAACCGGCCCAGGGCCGGCTTACTGGGGAATGCTACCCTTCGTGATATGTTCGGAACTGTGGACGGTATACGGTCTAAAGAGGGACGCGAACACTTCGACGCGAGGCTCGAGTGGGTTTCTAACGCGGGAAGAGCTTCGTGCGGTGCCGCAGTTGATCGGCGCCTGGCTGTGGTTCCTGTACGGCACCATCGGCACCAACACCGGCACGCAGCAAATGCTGTATGGCTGCGCCTTGGCGTTCACGCTCAATGGATGCGTCTTCTTGGTCTCCTCCCTGCTCAGCCTCCGCTCAGCCGTCATGCTGCCCAAGCTCTTCTACGTATGCAGATCTGTATCTTGTTTATCGCTGTTTACAAACATGAACCGCTGCTTCCGTCCGAAGCAACTTCCTGTCGGTCCGTCTTTGCGAGCCTGCCGAGCTTGCTTATGTCATCAGTGCTACAAAGCATACACGCTACAAGGACTACAAAGTTGGAAATTTAGCGAGGGCCGTCGGCTTAACGATTTAACGTCTTGGAAGAGACAATTTCGTTCACAAGAATACGGTAAAAATTTTGAGCTGATCTATCGGTTTTTGGTTCCTTTGGCGCTGATCTGAAGAATTGGGGGTTCCATGTTTCGTCGACATTTTAAGCAGCTGTGTTAAAGAGGGCTGTGTTAATTATTTTTATGAACCGGAACTTCGCTGGGATGTTAAATACTGGAGAACCACCCTTGGCGTTTGCAAAGAAAGGGGTCCAGTATTCACTGGGCGCCATATTTGTGGGTGCTGTCTAGAGCGCATGGCCAGAACGAGCTCACATTAATAGGCTGCTAAGACCGGCAATCTTGAGGGTGCGGAATGCACGTTAGAAAAGAACTGTGGAAGCTCGCCATCAGCACGCGCTCAGCAGTCGCGCACACAGCTATGGCCGCCAGTGAATACTTCCTATAGGGAGTATTCACTGGCGGCCATATCAGTGTGCGCTGCTGGTGAGCGCTTGCTGACAGCGAGCTTCCGCAGTCCTTTTGGAGCGTGCATTTATCACCATCAAGGTTGCCGGTCTTAGCAGGCTATTAATGTGAGCTCGTTCTGAGCATGCGCTCTAAACATCGCCCTCAAATATGGCGTCTAGTGAATACCTGTGTTCACTGGCGGACGGCTGTGTCCGCCGCTGCTGAGCGCATGCTGCAGATGGCGAGTTTCCCTTTCCAACGAACATTCCACACCATCAAAACTGACGGTTTTATCCGCCTATAGATGTGAGCTCATTCTGGGCATGCGCAGTGAACCAGCGATCTTAGGTTTATCAGTTGACACGCTCCACGAGAGTATGGTGGCTGTTCTCGACGTGCGCGATCGAAAGCGTCGCTGGGATCAGCCTTCCACGATTGGCTGAATGCAGACTATGACGTCAGCAAAGGAATTCTCTTCGACGGAAATAAGTGGAATGGAAGAACTTCAGTTTTGACGGTGTTAGCAACGTTGGTTTCAGAGCGCAATGATTTGAAGCTTCCACTATGCTCATTACAAACACCGTCAAACTTGTTCGCAAGGTAATGACGTAGGGAATCATAGTGGGGCATAGAGCCACTAAATGAGCCGCGCTTAGAGTATCAGTACTCCGTTCCTCGACATTGTTGTGGGCGCCTCCATTTTGGTTCGTATGCAGAGCAGACGCAACTGCCGATCGTGATAATTCGAAAGTGCGACTTCCTCAGCATTAGATTCGGTTTTAGGAAGGTTATGTAATTTTGGTTTGCTCTGTCGCGAACTGTTTAAATATTTAAGGAAGGCAACGAAATTGTCTCCAACTGGAGATCATGGTGGAAGTGGTCAGGCGTGCAACCTTTATTTAGATATGATATTTAGACAGGGTAAAGAAAGGAGCATATGCAGAATACTCTAAGGACTCTAATAAAGTTGAGTTTTTGTGTTTTTTTCAGTACACCCTGTTTCATCTTTTGGCTGCAACCTGTTATATGTTTGGCGGAATTCGCGCCGTGGGTCGCACAGCAGGCGTCGACGGGGTGAGATGTTTACACTTTCATTGCATGATAAAAAATAAAAATACAAAAAAGCAAACAGAGGTCTGTTCTATATTTCGGGTAACAAAGTGTGGGCCAAAGATATGGACATACGGATAGAGCGCAGCGATTGATGTGACGTAGCAAACTACGATTGCCGCTGGGGCGTCAAGGTTGTTGTGAAACCTAGTCATCCTTGATGACAAATTTCCACGTTACTCTTGACGACGTGACACTGCGATTGACTTCTGGAAAACGGGACGCATGGGTATTTTAGAGTCTCATGAACAGCTCGGTCTCGACATAATTAAAACATTATCCTTCTTTTTTTTTTTTTTGCTAAACTCTAAATGGTACAAATCTACTGTGAAAGAAGTTTTGACTGAGTACAAACTGAGTGTACAGCTGCCAGCTGCATTTTTACTTGGTCATTGTACACTTCTTTGAGTACAGGCTGAGAAGAGATCCTTAGCTCAGTCTGAAAATACTGTAACACGACTTTTGATTGGGCTAGTTGGTTTGTATTAGACATGATTAAAATAGCACGAACTTGACAAAAAAAAAAAAAAAAAGGTTACGACAAGACTGCGTGGCGCCGTCCTGTCGTACGTGTGCCTTTTTTGTCCTTGCCAAGTTCGCGCTATTTTAGTCATGCCTGAAAATAGTGATTGGTTGAGGTTTGTCAGGCTGGAGTGGGCACGGACGGCCTTCGAGGAGGCCGTTAAAAATGATGAAATTTCGATTGTCACAATTGTCACAGAACGAATCGCCGTGAACCATATGTTTCATTTCTCTTTATCGCAGGTTACAGCGATCGTGTGCGGAGGATTCCATTTTGTCCACTTTATATACAGCATTATCAAGACTTGACGGAAACACGGGCCTGTCTTGATGGTTACTGACGACGTGCTCAACACCACTCAACGCCTGCAAATCTACTTTTTCTACAGACTATAGGGTGTGGGCCAAACACTATGCCCAATAGACCATTTGCTAAATCCCCCAAGCGCCCCAGCCCGCACTCGAGGAACCATGGGAATGGTGTTCCTTCAGTTCCCCAGTGGTCGGTAATTTCGACCAGTTCTTTGCTTACATACTTTTGAATGTAATTCCGGAGTCATCCCAAATAAGCGTCGTGTAGACTCCAAAGAAATGTCATATCACTTTTAAGATTTTTCGTCAATGTCAGCGTTTTTGATAGTGTGCATTTCATCCACTCTTCGACCTAGCTGAGCTGCGTATGTCTCTTACCATTTTATAATACTCGTACAGCTTCAAAGACGCTTATATCAACTTAAAAACACACACAAAAAATGCTATAAACTGCCTTGCTAACTCCTGGTTTTGGTTATAGTGAATTCTCGGCTTTTTATGCAATTCCTGCCAAAACGAGAAGCACGAGAATAATAATTTTGGAAGACATTTCTGCAGCTCAGTCAGGTTAAAAGGTGAATTGCAGGCACAGTATTAAAAACAAAACAAAAAAACGCTGACCTTGACGGTAAATTTTAAAAAAGTGATATGACAGGTGTTTGGAATCTACACGACGCTTATTCAGGATGACTCCCAATTACACTCAAAAGTGAATAAGCGTTCAATTGGTCGAAATTTCTGATCGCTAGGGGACTGAAGGAACACCGTTCCCATGATTCCACGAGTGCAAGCCCGGGTGCTTGGGGATTTAGCAAGTAGTCGATTGTAATTTTGGCCTTGCCATTGTCTGGACGCGCTTCCGTAGTTCGCAATGATTGGCTTATTCTTCGCTCCGTGTTCAAAATTAGGCGCAGATTTGTTTTAGAGTTTATAAATACAAATATAAATGTATAAAATAAACTATATTGAACACAACAGTGATATTCTTAAATCCCGTCTCTGGCCAATTTTTCCATCGCAACGAAAACGCTAATCAGCATTAGTCATACCATGCACTTGGAAAGACTTTTAGAATGCAGTGCAGAACGAGGGTTAATATATGCATCGTCAGCGTCCAGTCTACTGTTTAAATTACCTAAATAAACTATTTTCTTTGAAATTAGGAATGCCCGGAACGTTCAAATGAAATTCCCTCGCCTTGGATGGATCGCAGAATGTGTTCAGTTTTGGTGTCGGTTTTGCTTCGCTGCCTTCCCATGTATGCGTACCATTCAACACTGTCCACAAAACCTTCACGTTAAATTTAGCAGAGGACAAAGGTCAGTGGTCAAGTGTAGAGCGTAATGCGAAGTCCCGGCTATAAACGAACTCTGATTGAAAGCTGGGATTTATATTTATAATGAAACAATTAAGGTTTTAAAGTGTATTGTTTAATGCCTGGATCAGGCATCTTCGTTCGTTGTGTGAACAGAGACTCAAACGACCGTATATGCACATAGCCACAGGGAAAGGTTACCAACTTGACAGCCCACAATTAACACACACACAGCTCACACAAAACACACCATTCAAACCGCGCTGAACTCACGACTCTATTTTGTATTTCGTATTTTTTTAATTCTACGTGTACAGAAGTTTTTTTGTTCCTTGTCGTTTTCAGCCACGTGAATTCCGTATCTGGTGTGCGACACGAAAAAATAATAAAGCAATTCAACCTGAAATATGTGAGAAAATATAGGCTAGGCAAAACAAGAATGCGTGACAGTCAAGCATTTTTTTTAAACACCTTCCAACTGCGTGAAGAAATCGAAACAACGGTATATATTGTGCATTTTTACTTTTCTTTTCAAGAATTCTGACGCCAAGACTCCCTCCCTCTTGCGTTGCAACGCGTCTTTGTTATTGAATTAACTAATCAGCTTCAAATAAGGGTCGTGGCACCCTCTAGGGTAAAGAAACAAAAAAGAAAACAAACAAGTAACCATTGCGAGCAACACTTCTCATCAAAGAACACGCCGCCCGAGAACGGCTCCCTTCTTATTTGTTTTTTGTTCACTTTGTGACTTTACTTTGTTGTTGGGTCCGACTGTTCTCTTCTTTGTAACGATGCCGACCGTGGCAACCGTTCTGGTCATACGATTGGCGTTTGTTTTGTCACGCGATGACATGGCCGGACCGATTAACCAATGAGTTTGTTAGAATGGTGTCACGAGGTATAAAATGGCGGATCAAATAAAAATAATAAATGCAAACAAGCGCGCAGTTCTGCTCGTTTAGCCCCCTCGGCGCTTTATTCGTTCAGAGGCGAGCGTCGCAGTGCCATGGCGTTTAACTTGTGCCGTCTTCATGACGCCATGAAAGACCCTCTTGAAGCAGTTAATTTGCTTCAGGGCATGGGCCTGCTTCTGGGTTCGTGTCCGTGCCCAGAGTGCGAAGCTCCGATGACGCTGCAAGTCCGCACTAGATCTGCGGATGGTTATTCGTGAAGGTTCGGTGTGTGGATGACTCGTGAGGTGCCCAAGAGGAAGCCGGTCAAGGTTCAGAGCCGGGAGAGGTCTCGGTACGGAGCGGTTCCTTTTTCGAGGCATCGCACCTGACGCTTCCCCAAACTCATGAAGATCACCTACCTCTGGTGCCAGAACCTACCGTGCGCCGTCATTCAGCGGGAGACTGATGTCGCAAGTAAGACAATAACTGATTGGACGAGCCTTTGTCGGGAGGTTGTGGTAATTGCCGTCTTTACGCGTTCAGAGATGATTGGCGGCGAAGGCGTGACTGTAGAACTAGACGAGAGAATGTTCGGGCGGCGAAAGTACCATCGCGGGCATTTAAGGCCTGGCCAGTGGGTTTTCGGCGGTGTGGAGCGTGGCAGCGGGTGCTGCTTTCTTGTTCCCGTGGAGACCCGTGACGCTAAAACCCTGCTAGGGCTAATAGCCAAGTGGGTCCACCCTGGAACAAGAATAATCACTGATTGTTGGGCGAGCTATCGCAAGCTTGCAGATGACGCTCGCTTCACGCACCTCACCGTTAACCACAAGCTGCACTTTGTTGACCCGAACACTGGTGTGCGCACACACACGGCGAACCAAGAAGGACGACGACAATATCCACGTCACTCTCGAAGGGCACGACATCAAGCCAAGCAAGTCCCTCAGGATCTTGGGCTTGCTAATTCAAGCGGACGGCAAGAACGACGCAATGGTGCAACAGCTCAGTAAAACCTCTGAGCAAGTCATGCATATGATACGCAGAGCCACGAACCGACACAGAGGCATGAGAGAGAGCGATACGGTCAGGTTAGTTCAAGCCTTCGTCCTCTCGCGCATAACTTACGCTGCTCCCTACGTCACCCTGAGTAAAGCGGAACAAGACAAGCTCGACGTGCTCATACGCAAGACGCTGAAACAGGCAATCGGATTACCCGTGAACGCATCTACGGACAAGCTACTTCGTATGGGACTACATAACACCGGGGGGGAACTCATTGAGGGCCACTTGTCAAGTCAAAAGACACGACTCGCTCACACTCAAACCGGCCGCAACTTGCTGATTAAACTCAAGCAGGTTCCACGGGACCAGACCCTGCCGCTGGCACTCTCGGAATCGTGGCGCCAACACATCTTTGTTTACCCAATCCCTCGAAACATGCACCCAAACCACCATCAGGGCCGCAGAGCAGCAAGAGCAAGAGCACTAAATAAGACATACTCCAGAATACCCACGACGACGTATACCGACGCAGCCAACTACAACGGCAAACGAGCCATGGTGGCCGTGGTGACAGACGGGCACAAGTACCTGACCAGCGCCTCCGTCCCACGGGGAACAGCTAAAGAAACAGAAGAGCTTGCCATCGCCCTCGCCCTCACACAAACCGAAACCTCCACAATAATCACGGATTCGCAAGAGGTATGCCGTAGCTTCCAGTCGGGCTGGGTGGCACCTGTCACGCTACGTATCCTAGAAAACAAGGCACCGGACAGGCAGGTCGACATTGTGTGGACCCCAGCCCACTCCTCCATGAGAGGCAACGAACACGCCCATCTCACGGCCCGAGACCTCGCCCACCAGGCCACGGAGGAGATACTGGAACCCACACCCCTCACGACCTATCAAGAAATTACACAACATTACAGGCTCAACAGAAGAACCTTACCCGCACCACACCCTTCCCTCACGAGAAGTCAGGAAACCACACTCAGATTACTACAGACTAACACATTTCCCCATCCAATTAGGATGCACCTGCTATTCCCCACACAATTCGACGCCCAATGTCAATTCTGTAACCAACCCGGCACCCTGAGACACATCATATGGGAGTGCGACAACAACCCAGACATGTCACCCCCTTTTCCTTCCCCTACACTCTTAGAAAAAAGGGTCAGTATAGTCCTCCCTAAAGGGAGGAACGCTCTTGACACATATGTTCCTTCAGAAAGGGAGAAACTTTCGTCCTTTAAGCAGGGGAGCAAAAGTTCCTCTGTCGACTGCATCTCATTATGGCGGCCACGAATCGAGCAAATCGAGCTCGATAAGGCTTAACGAGAACACTAAGTCTATTGTACGAAGCGAGAGGAGCAGCAAATAAAAACGTAACACGAGCTTTCCGCGAACTGTATTTATTTCTGAAGTTTCTCTACTCTGCACGTAAAGAAACTCGCGTTTCGAAAGCATGCAGTCACTCAGTCTTCTCATCGTCAGCAGTGCGATGTTCAACGGAGACAACCGGCACCCAGTTCGCGCACTTTATGTCTTACCTTTGCTATTCCTCGAGCCACAATTCCTTCGTCAACCGTTGCGTCAACCGCACATCACGGAGGAGTGAAAATCATTCGCCCGCAAAACCAAAAGCCGCTCTCAAAAAAAAAGCAAATCCGAAGCAACATCTTGGCTTATCTCAGCACGGTAACACGAAATTATGGCGTAGCCGCGTAGCGTAAAAGGATGTTAAATCGCGTGCCACCAGATGGCAGGGTCAAGCCGAGTAATCGCTA